TTGGCAGTCATTACACTAGAGATGATCCTTTCCAGTTCCTCAGGCATCCAAATTTGGTCCAAAGAGCTATTGACAATAAATATCTTATTTCAGAAGTATTGCCTTAAAATGATGTTAAATATTCTATTTACTTTTCATTTTAACTTTGATATGACAAATTATGCTGACATAGGAGTTTCTCAAATATGAATAATAAGCTTTTTTTTTCATCCAGATGTATCATTTCATTGTGAGATTCCCTTCTCAAGTGACAAGGTGGATTTTATTTTTATGATCACTCCTCCAGCTCATAAAGTCATATATACCTGCACCTCACCTGAAAATAATTGCACGATACATAATAGAATCTTTGGAAATAATTTTGGAGAAATAGTTTGAATGGCAAAAAACAACCATTATAAACAGGTTAAAATTTCCCACTGACAGTACCTCAGGCACCCCTTGATATCAGAACTATTTCAGTTAATAATAATCACCGAAAAACTTTTAGGTCTTGTCTATTTTTAGGTTTAAAAGAGGAATACAGAGTTTTCACATGCCATCAACATATTTTTAAACGTTATTTTATAGCCATTCATCAGAACAGTAAAATGTATAAACTTACCACTTCTTTCCTCATTAACAAGATACAAAAAAGAGCAATTTCAAGCCTATGTTTTAGCATGGGGGAAAGCGTAGCTAAAAATGTGGCTTTTGTGTCAGAAGTAAAAATATTTTGCGTTTTTTTAAAATGTAGACTAGTGGCAATGGTAGATTAAGGCTTTGTTTGTAACATGACAAGCCTAGACTATGCAATCTCACAATATAATCTCTTTTTCATATCTCTACCACCCTTCAGTGTTTTTAACTGTATAATGCAGACTTGGCTTGGGAAAGGATTAGTGATATTGAATGTAGGATGCGTTAATTAAAAAAAATATGAAATATTAATCATCCAATACTACTAATAGGTTCAATAAAGTATTACTAGTAATAAATTATATGGTTTAGTTTGGCAGATTAAGTACCATATATGAAATTTGAAAAGAAAAAAAGATCTGTATAATTATCTTATGCACAAAACTCAAAGAAATTTGGCCTTTTTTTTTTTTAAAAAAAAGTTCTCTTTGTTATTCTTCCATCAAAATAATACTATTCCAATCTGGACAAAGAACACTTGCTAAATTTCAAAAACTAGGGAGTGAGCCAAAAACAAGTGGCCCTGGATTAGTCATTTGTTTAGCAACCTTCAAAGGTGCTGAAAATAATGACTTATAAGCATTGCAGTTTCATGATCATGTGATCAAAATTTGGGCTTTTGGCAACTGGCATGTATTTTGAATGGTAATATCTCAGGATCACGTGATCACCATTCGCGACATTCTCAGAGCGATTCCAACAAGCAAGGTTGATGGGGGGAACCAGATTTGCTTAATAACTGGGCGATTCATTTAACAAACATGGCAATTTTTTGGGGGGTAAAATTGGCTGAGATTCATTTAATGACTGCATTGCTTAGCAATGGAAATTCTGGTCCCAATTCTAGTCTTAAATTGAGGACTACCTGCAAAACCGTTAACTTTGGGAAACAGTAATGTGAATTGTATAATAGAACAAATCCAAACCATGTGAGTTAGTGTGCTAAGGTTGAATCTCCAATCAAAGCTTAAAGCAATCTAGTTTGCCCTATGCAAAATTGGGAAAAGTTTAATCAGTATTTTCTAGTGTTCAATTGATTTCCTTATTTGCAAATGATAAAAAGTTTTCTTTCCCTGAATTAAGAATGAAGCTGCCATTGCATGGCTTATACTTCAAGCACAAATTGCATTCAAGCAGGAGAGACTGACCAAACAAAGTTATCTGGAACTAATCGCTGACTTGATCAGGTGTCCTCTAAACTGCTTATGCCCATCTGGCTTATTTCAATTGCTGCATTTTGTGTTTATAAATGCTCAGAAGTAAATTTCCTTGTCTGTCTTTGCCCTGGGTCACACATCACACTAAACCAGTGGTTCTCAACCTGTGGGTCGGGACCCCATTTGGGGTTGAACGATCATTTCACGGGGGTCGCCAAACAACGCAGTCCGCCATTTTTTCCCCCTTTTCCTTAGCTGTGCTACTCCCTTTTATTCTATTGGCTTTTGAAAGCCAATAGAATAGACTCTCTTGAATAGACTCTAATTCTATTGGCTTTCAAAAGCCAATAGGAATTGTCCAGGCTGTCTCTGCCCTGCTGAGCCCTCCAAAAGTCCCATTCTGCAAACGGTGCTGCACCAGTTGAGTAGTCCTCGACTTACAACCAGTTGGGGGTCGTGGCATTAAAAAGGTTGAGAACCACTGCACTAAACCATAATGTTTGTTTGGGGCTAGGTTTGACTTGCTAAAGCAGGGGTGTCAAACTGCCAGCCCACAGGCCGGATGCGTCACACGGAAGCCACACCTACCCCAGCTCCGGCAAGGGGAAAAAAGTCGTGATACGTTGCGACACATCACATGACGAGTTTGGCACCCCTGTGCTGAAGCATTAGACAAAAGCCCAGACATTATAGTTTATAGTAATTAGTTTCTTATTTTGGAGAGGCTTGTATTTTGGAAAGGCCAAGCCAAGGGAAAACAATGTGCCACAGTTGTGGAACTACCTTTCTCATACTCTTCACTGAAATGGATTCAAATGGCCCTCCAGGAATGTAGACAGACCCAAGAGATAAGCTGAATTTAATTAAGTAACTATAGTTGTTTCTGTGTATGTTAAATGTCTTTCTATAAAACACTGAACATTCAGTTTAAATTAAATTCTGGAGAGAGGTACACAATGTTTTGGGGCTCTGGATGAGTCCTAATGAATTTTATATGATTTTTTCTGCCCTGTAATAAGGATTTTCTTCTCAGTTCACATGCACATCAGAGAACCAGACTATTAGCACACACCCTTTTTATTTACACTTCATTATCCACATCAAAGCATCAGACTGCTGTTCATATAAATGGCGACACAGCCACAAACACTTCTATCCTTCTCCTGACATCTTCGTTACCATGTTTCTCCCACATCTGCATACACTGCAGATTGCAGGAACGCACAGGCTATAAACCAACATACTGTTCTATGTCCCCTGGCCTATATTTGTCCTAGAAATCCATATTCTATCTCAGCAATATAGCTGAAACTCTGTGGGGAAAAAAAGAAAACATAATTTCAAAACATATTCCTCATCCTGGAGTCACAGACGCTTCACAGTTCTTCCAAAACATTTCCTTCTTTTAGTATTTTGATGTTTGAAAGTATTTTCTTGGATTTCTTCCCAAAAATTCCTCCTGGAACATCCAAAGCTATGGCTATTTTCTTTTTCATATAAAACTTCCTTCTAGTTCTGCTTAAGGAAGAAACAAAAAATCAGAGAACAATGTAATCTTGGTACATAATACCTATGGGTCTGAATAATTTTTTAATCATATTTTTCCCAGTTACACAGAAAACCTGTAATGATAAATCCAAAATATATATGAGCTGATGGATCACATCGTTTTTTTTTAAAAATGGAGGAAAGAATCCAACAGAAGTATACAGAATATACCATTTTGAATATTGCCTCAAATCAATAGCAATAATAGACTCCTGGCTTCACGAAGCAAGGCTGCATCATTAACAGCAATCAGCTATAAGGAGTGCTCAAACAGAAAATAATGCAATTTTGAAAAAGCACATCCTGAACTGGAGGAAAATATGCTTCTTTCAAACTGCAGCATGTTCATTTAATTTTAGTTGAAAACATGAAGAGGTTTTGTTTCCTCTTGATTTCATTTGGAAAACTTCATAATAACCCATTGTTCTTTCTCTTGCCATTATTAAAGAACTGCTGTTCTTTTTGATACTTTGACAAAGGGATCAAACAGTCTGCCAAATAAAATCAAGTATCTCAAATAGGTCCAGTGATAAATTTTAAAATGCAGAAGCTTTTTAACAGTCATTAGATCTCTGTAGATCTGATGAGCGACTTGCCTCTGGAGGTATAAAGAGATCTGCTTCAATATGGAAAAGTACCCTTGCCCTAAAATTTGGGAATGCCCAATCAGGCTCAATGGGTTTCATGAACAGTACGGGTTTCCCCTATAGACACCCACGCACAGAAACACAAAGCTTTTTTCAGACTTGTTTTCTAAAGAGGAACTTTCCTGGATCCTTCAATAAACTGAAGCTCTCCCGAAGATCTGCACAATAGTAACGAGCCATGTCCCCACAGTAAGCTCAAAATGCAAATAACTAAGCTAATCGGCAAAACAAGGTCAGCAGGCTGCTATTGATTTATTGAGCTGACCCATGAAAAGTGTTAGAGGTTCCCCAACCAGGTGCCTTCCAGATGCGTCTGGCCCGCCGGGCCCAGCTAAACAGTGCAACCAATCTGAAAGAAGCGGATGCGGCGGTTAGCCCGCGGGACTCGGAGGGATCTGCGGTTATCATCCTCGGGCTTACTGCCCTGAGTCAACTTCCAACTTCGCAGGCTGGCAACGCCGGAGAAAGTTGCTCCAGCAGATTGCATCACCGCTGCTCCTTGCAACCCAAGAAGGGCTCCCCATTCCAGGCCCGCCTTCTCTCCCCCCCCATCCCCTCGCTTTGCAACAGCAGCGCGCTCCTCGCGGAGACATCCCCCCCTCCAAGCAGCCCGCCTCGCGGGGCGGGCCCAGAAAGTACAACCGAGCCCCCTTTACAGAGGCCCAAGGCGGTCTCGTCCGGGAGCAGCAAAAGAACCCTGAGCGAAGAGACTCCGGCTCTCTAGCGGCAGGACCCCAAAACAGTCACACGTTATATCCCTTTCCCCTCCCCCCCATCCCCAGGCGACGCCCTTTCTGGCTATTCGCGCCACTGAGCCTTTTATACCCCTCATCCCCCCTGCCTTGGCGAAAGGGGTGGGGCCTTCTTCTTGAGCTGAATGACAACCTGGGCCTAGCCAGCCAGCGGGCGCCTTCTGCCTTATCACGTGACCTCGCTGCCCCCGCCCCTCCCTCCTGCCCGCCGCCCGCCCTTTTGCCCGGCCACCCCCTCCCCAGTTGAGGCAGGGCTCCTTCCCGCGAGCTCGGCGGTGGGTGGGCGCCTTGGATTGCCTTTCGGGTGCGGGGAAGCTTGCCGCGAGGTGAGTTTCTCGGCTCCTGAGGAGGTGCCCGGCGGCGTTTTTAATTTTCTTCTTTCCCTCTCGTTCTCCAGCCGCACCGTCCCAGCCGGCCGGACTTGCAGGCACTTCCTGCAAGTGTGGCCGGCTGGGACGTTGCGGTTAGGGAGTCTGCCTCTCGCGCCCAGCAGTGGCGAAGGGGGCGAGCTTGGGAGGAAGAACAGCGAGGGAGACTCAGCAGGCGCGACTTTGGGCTCCTCAAGAGTAAGGAAGAAAGCAACGGGAGCCGCCGCCGCCACAGACCGCCCGCTTGTCGAAGAGGGACCCCGGGCAGGACGCTCGGCTGGTGGTGGATCTCCAGTTCCCTCGGCTGGCCACGGCCCTCTCTTGATGAAATCTTTGAGTTTGCCAGTTGTTTGGGATTAGTTACGAAAGAAGAAAGGAGGAGGAGGAGGAGGAGGAGGAAAAAAAAGAAAATCTTTAAATCAACGTCATTTTAACTCGGGGGTTTGGCTGGACTTAAAAAGAAGGGGAAAAAATCGCGCTCCCGAGCTCGCGTATTGTTTTCCCTCGCTCGCTTTCATAAACTAACTCCGAAGAACTCTGTAATTGGATAACAAGAGTAATAGGATGACATCCCTTGTAGATCCCAGGATTAAACTAGCTTTGAGGAAGAAACCATCTGAAAGAACTCAAGAGGTAACTTACTTTCCCTTCATGTTTTTTCTTTTCCCTTCATGTTTTTTCTTTTCCCTTCATGTTTTTGCTTTTATGACGGTTAATGCTTCGTATAAATATATATATATTTCCAGATACTATTCTGCGTGGATACATCATCATAAGTAACAAAACATATGACTGTGTTTATTGTTGCTGCTGAGTTCCTGACTGTAATATATGCTAAAATATATGGCATAAAATGTTCTGCAATATGGCAAACTCAACATAGCAATGCTGTAGAAAGTTATATTGATAAAGGCCAGAACTTTTGTCATTTTGCAAGTATTGTGGGTTTTTAAAAAAATAAAAGTGTGCCTGATGTCTTTTTAAAAACATTGTTTTAACATTTGAACTTTGATGAGTTTTGTAAAAATGAGGAATGTAATCATTACATTTATGGTAAGTGAAAGACCTCTAATGGATGTATTGTTGAATGACATTTAACAATTCTAGGAAAATTGCATATTTGAATGTGAAGTCACTCATATATGTCTGAATTAGGGAGTATAGGATTGCAGTCAGTAAGAACAATCAAAATGTCTTGTTACTTCTGATTTGGAGTCTTCAAGAGGGCAAGAGTGACTTTGTTTGAAAAACAAAAACAAAACTCTTAACAGTGGGTGGTAAATTTATTCAGACCAGCTCTTGAAGCAATCTGTATTTACTAGGTGTGTGTTGGATGGAGAGTGCAGTATATGAAAATGGTCTGATTTTACCCTTGTTATACTGTCACTCTCTCTCTTAGGATTGGGTTGTGTTTCCTAATCTTAAAAAATGTTATTTATTTTTATTCTTGGTTTTTATTTTAATTACATCGATTTTATGGTTATCTTTGGTTTGTCTTTATAGGTAATATATTTTTAATTTTTGCTTTGAAGTACAAAGCAGAAGCAAAACAAGTTTAAAAAATAACAAAATAAGGATCTCCAAAAACAAAAAAAACATGATTTGGCCTTATTTCTAAAGTCTTGAGCATACAAATACATTAAATCAGTCCTCTCATTATATTGATAACCAGCTCAAAAATAGAAAGAACACAACAACATATCTGTATTCCAAGGTTATATATTCTTGCTTTTTCATTGTAAGCCTCCTTGAGTCTTTGAATAAATAAAAAGGCTCTGTAACAGTGCACTAGTTAATAATAAGTCTAGTAGAGTTTATAATTTGCACTATGTAAAATCACAAACCATCAGGAAACCGTATAATAAGATAATCATCAAACAAGATATATGTGTACTTTATGTCCTAATGTGGCTTATTGTTTTTGACTTAGTATGAAACAGCCATTGTGGTTTGTAATCTATAACTGATAGTTCAGTGTAACATTCAAAGCAGACTACTATGAAGTGTTCTACAAATCATAATAACCCATGGTTTAACAGAATGTGCGACTTCCACAGTGTTAATAAGTAGCAACCACATACATTGTGATTCATCATTATTAAACCCAGTAATACTTCTGAGAATCAATCCAGAATTTACTTTGAGCAGCATGCAATCATAGTTTATTCATTTGTTGTTTCAAATAAAAAAAGGCAGTCATACTTGCCTGTTAAAAAGGTAAAGGTTTCCTCTGTCCAGTCTTGAGCTATTTAAATATTTAAAGTATGTGTTTTTCAATGTGCAGAAGCATGAACTAGGCATCTCCTAACTGTTAAAATAGCAATATCTTTTGCAAGACTTGGGGGCTGTATTGAAAATAGCTGTCAGTTGTCTTACATGTGCCTGTTTCCATGTGTTTTAAAACACGGGTATCAAATTTGCCATGTCACGTGATGTGCCGCGACGTCACTTTTTTTGCATTGCCGGAGCTGGGGTGGGCGCGGCCTTCGCATGATGCAACTGGCCTGTGGGCCGACAGTTTGACACCCCTGTTGTAAAGCATCTCTTTCTAATGATTTGCAGAGCTCTATTGCTTGTAATAAGGTACACACCCCAGGGATCTTCCTTTCCAGTTGGTATCATAGCCAATTTTAGAGTGGCTATGTAGGCATCATTTCAGAGTTTGGGTTTCCATCTGAAAGTATTGATGTGTGAACTGATAAGGAACAGAGCCATTTTGCCAATATTGGACATCTCTTCATTTCTAAAATGAATTTCTCCTTCTACAGAATGGAAAAGAACCACAAAAATAAAAATGCTGTTACAGAAATGCCTGTACTTTTCCACTTCTCTATCTTCACCTCACTTTTCAGAAGAAACTAATCATTGCTTCATTTGCTAATCATTAGAAACATTGCTCAAATTCTTCTACAGAATGCTTTGTAACATGCAGAAGTTTGACTAAATTACCCCCTTTTAGGATTGTTAAAACAATTGCATCCTTTCCAAGTTCATGTTGCTGCTTCAGGAGCAAATCTTGGATGTCACCATATGCATATGCATGTACAGCCACTTTATTTCATTCATAGATGCTCTCATAAGTTCTGAAAGATTTATTTCAAATAATTTGTACATTATAAATGTTATTAGTCTGTAATTGCATTTATGGCTGACCCAGGTATACTAACAACTAAACTAAATACACAGATCTGTGCATCTCTAAATGTGCATATACTTCAGTACATTATGTATTGATACAACATAGTTGTGTTCTGTGTCCTTAATAGAGTTGCTGGAAAGAAAGAGAAAGACCTCTAACTAGGAACTTGCACAATGTAAGAAGACTGATAGCAATGTAAAGCAGTCAAGAATGACCATTGTAACAGAATACAATAATAAGAGCTCAAATGTAATAAATTGCAATACCTGTGACACAATAGATAATCCCCTTTTGCTGTTATGCAATTATTATAATCTTAGTAATTTATGGAAAATTTATTAGCAGATCAAATTCAAACATAGATCTTTGCATTGCATTATTCTGCACGTAATTGTTAGAAATATAGGTTGCTTACATTTTAATTATTGATTGTAATCACACAAATGTCTACTCAAATTAGAATGTCAGAAGCTGACTGTATTAAGACTTAGTTTTTATTCTTTTGCCTCTCAGTTGGTCCCATAACATGCACTATGGTTAGAGATAACTAGAGACAAGACTTTTGATCACAGAACTGCCAATGTAGTGTGATTGTCTCTTCAGTTACTCTTGTGTAATATAGTAATGGTGGCAGGATGTCTTTTCCACCCAAACCATTGTCTACCATTGAGGTTAACAGAGCAACATGGGTAATTAGTATCAGTAGTATCGGTGATTAGTATCAATTTATTTCCTTTTGGGGTGAAGTGGACAAAAGGTGATAGTTGTTTCTCTACTATATGTATTCAATCAATAATCCAGAGATGGATTATTGATTGAATACATATTTTGTGCTACCATGATGATCAACTGGGAGAGTAATGTTGGACTCAAATCAAGTGAAATCAATTTATGACTGCTTTGAAGGGATTAAATGGAAATATAGTAGTGAATGTGCTCTTAAACTATTCAAGCTTATTTTTTTATACAACCTATGATATCTTGGTGCTACAAAACTCTAGTAAAAATTATCATTCAGAAACTTTTTTGATGCAATTCCAATTCTTAATTATGCAAAAATGAATAAAATTGTTCAGTGTTAACAGCTGTCCAGTTATTACACCACCAAATTATTAGAGACTTATTTGGGAGACTTATTTATGTTAACATTTAGAACCTGCCATTCTGAGTAATGACTTATAGTGCATTTGGAGCACTATAGCAGTGATGGCGAACCTTTTAGAGCAGTGGTTCTCAACCTGTGGGTCGGGACCCCATTTGGGGTCGAATGACCATTTCACGGGGGTCGCTAAACCATGCTGTCCGCCATTTTTTCCCTTTTCCCTAGCTGTCCTACTCCCTCTTATTGGTGGCCACACCCACTTGGGGGTCACCACAACATGGGGAACTGTATTATGGGGTCACGGCATTAGAAAGGTTGAGGATCACTGTTTTAGAGACCGAGTGCCCAAACTGCAACCCAAAATCCACTTATGCATTGTCGGGTACTGGGTGGGTGTGGCCCATTGAGTGGGTGTGGCCAATTGGGGTGTGTGGCCCATTGGGTGGGTGTGGCTGTGGTGGTAACGGCAGACTTGGTGGGACTAAAAAGTTCAATCAGTTTTTTTTTTTTTTTGCACACAGCAGCAGAGGGGTCTAAAGCGAAAAGGTTTTTATAAAACCCAGCTGAAGGCCTAGGACTGGGGTGACGGCGCGCGTTCCCACAGAGAGGGCTCTGAGTGCCGCCTCTGGCACCCGTGCCATAGGTTCTCCACCACTGTACTATAGGATAGCTGGTGGCTATAGTTTTAAAGACTTGGATATAGTGGGTTATGGTTCAGGCTGGCAGAGGGAGCAAATGTTTCATTTTTTTTCTGAGTGAATAAGTACAGCTCTTTAAAGCAACTAGGACAGAAACAGATTTCCTGTCTGCCTGACGCTCAATCCTCCTGCCCAGAAGTCTTGGGAATGCTAATAAGATAAAGCTGGCAGGGAAATATATGGAAAAACATTGGGGATGTTTGATTTTTTGTTCAGTGCTGCTTTCTTCAGTTGCATGATTTTTACCTTTGCTCGCATTTTATGTCCCTTAATTTTTTTTGTTTTGCTGATTGCAGATTAATACTTCCAATTTTTATATGTTGGTTTTGTTTTGGTACATCCATGTCAGTCTTGAACCCTCCTGGTGATTCCTTGGATTTATCCTTGTAGTTTTCTTGGGAAAGATTCCCTTATGTCACAGTTATCTTCTGATTGACTATATTGCCATATTGTACTAGGGAAGAATATGGAAATAGTTTGTCATTACTTTCTTCTGAAATCCTTTACCAAGTGCAAATGAAGCTCAAGCCTGATTAGCTTCTCAGCCCAGACTACAATATATTATGATCTAGCTGCTTTGTTTTGCATGAACTGCAACTTCCGGACACTTCCTAAAGCATGATTCAGGATCAGATGAACTCCAGATGTGGTATAACTAAGTCATAGCTAACTCTTGCCAAGTCTGGCCAGTTGA